TTAGACAAGTTATTGTTATTGATCCAGTACTCTCCTCATACTTGATGGGCCACTAGTTGAGAGTCAGTGCAAATGACAACTTCGTTTGCTCCTAAATCTTCGGCGAGACGTAGGTTGGCCAAGAAAGCTTCGTACTCAACTTGGTTGTTGGAGGTTGGGAAAAATAGTGTAAGTGAGACTTCGATGAGGATTCCTTCCTCGTTTTCTAGGATGATGCCTGTCCCGCTGCCTGCAGAACTAGAGGCACCGTCGATGAATATGACCCACCTTTGGGCGCCCTCGCTAGGTTGCACGGGTGAAGTCATTTTTCCATGAAATTAGCTAGTGCCTAAGCCTTAAGGGCCTTTCCGCTCTCGTACCGAATGCCGAATTCAGACAGTTTTAACGACCATCTGAGCATCCTCCCGACCATATATGGGCGACCCAGCAGTTGCTTTATGGGTTGGTCTGTACGTACCACGATGGTGCGGGCCAACAAATAATGTATTAGTCTCATTGTAGCATTGATTATAACGAGAGCCATCTTCTCTATTTTTTGATATTGTGACTCTTGTGGAACCGACAGTACTTGGATTTGTCTGTGTTGGGCTTGGCCAATGTCTTTTTTGGGAATCGGACCCCGGCTTGGCGAAATTATGAGTTAGCGTACTTAGTGAGGATTGTTTCCTTTGAGATCGTCAAGGGTGTGTAATTGTGGAACCTTCCGGAGGGCCCTTTGTTGTCCCGGGTCTCTCGGGGACGATCCTCCCATCTTTTATCTCCTCGACGGGAAGTTAAAGGCTCGTCGGTCCTATTTGACCGGGCATTTTCCTGGTGCCTGAACTCTCGGGCAGAGCTGACATCTTCCTTTTCCTCGTACAAAATGTATGACTGAGCTCTGAGGAGGAAAACGTCCAGTGTGGCAGGGGATCGGAGACCTATGACATTGGCGAAGTCTGTGCGAGGGAGGAGCCTGCGCTCTAGTAAGAACCTCTTCATGTCATCAGTGGGGGAGACTTGGACGACCTCCTTATTGAACCTCTCAATGTAGGGTCGCATAGGTTCGTCCCTTCCCTAAATAATAGCCTCGAGGGAGGCTTCAGTATTCGGATGCCGGCGAGATGCCGTAAAATGTCTGGAAAAAGTCTTCCCAATTGCCTCCACGAGGTGATGGAGTCGTCCGAGAGCCCTTTGCACTAGGTCATTGCCTATTTCTTGAGTGTGGTCTGAAATAACCTACATTTGATGGCGCCCCAATGCTGCGATAGTCGAGCAACACATTGATATTTTCGATGTGCTCGTCAGGGTCAGTTGTCCCATCGTGCGTGCCTAGAGAAAGTGGTTTCTCTAGTCCTTTTGGGAGGCGCATGGCTATGATTTCTTGGGACAGTGGGTCGCGAGGCTCATCGTCGCTGCTGCTGCTGGTCCAGGAAGGGGAACATGCGTTATGTCCGTAGGTAGGACGGTGGCCTCGTTGCGGAGATGGGGCTTGTGCTCGCCCTCTAGATCTGGGCGATGAGCGTGGAGACTCCACCGAGTGTTCTCTTCGGCTCCTCTTGGGCTGCGGGGACTGATGGTTCTTAGAAGAACGCTGGTCGCGTTTGCGGATGACCACGGTCTCCGGTTCTTGCGGTGTTCAATAATCCTCTCGCGTTGGGGAAGGGGACTCCGTTGTAGTCTTTCTTTCCTTGGTAGAGGGGATCTTGGACGATGATACTCTTTCAAGGCTTCAATTTTTTCACTCTGGTTGAAGATGAAGAGGTTGGTCTTGTTGAGAACCTCGATAAGGGCCGCCATGCCCGGGTCGACGTTGGGCGGAACAGGGATCAGCAGATGCTGCTGGTTAAGCGGGACTTCACCGTGATCTGTACGAACGGGGGATGGAGAAGTTGTGACTCCATCTCTTCATTGGAGAGCGTCGACGACATAAGAGGTGGAGGCCCCTTCAGCACCGATCTTGCTGACGGGGAGGAAAGCGAAATTAGGAGCATCAAGATGGTTGTCACACGGGCAACCATGATCAGAAAGTTGAAAAAGTGTTTTGGTCTTTGTGTCTACGAGAGGAGAAAAGACGGGGATGAAAGATTCCCACAGACGGCGCCACTGATCTTACTGAACGATCAAAATCTGATATACGCCAAAGACGAACGTTTGTGATGTTGGATATAAAAGAGAAGGAGGGGGTGTACCTGCAAGGCACTCCGATGTTAACATTTGAAAACGGGCAAAAGAGCGAGCAGGTATACAATATGCGTTTTTAGGTAAGAAATTGGATACCTGACCCTCTTAAGTGATAGGTTTTTATAGTGCCCCCAACGCTTGACCATTGGTCCCTATTTTTGAGGTGAGATAACTATTTCTCGAAGAATAGGTAACTGCCAGAAATAACCGTTGAGACGAGCAGTCGTGCCTATAACTAGCCGTTGTGACGTGTAGAGGCAGAGTTACGGGCACAAGCGTCTTAGCTGTTTCTAGATGGTGGAACCGTGCATGATGGACAGAGATGGACAAGGAGAAGTGATGTGACCAAGGGTAAATAAGTCAGTTTCCCCTGTTGAAGGGGCAGAAAGGTAAACTCTCCCCCTATGAGGCTGGACTTAGGCAATTTGGGCCATTCTGGGAGCATAAGTGGATAGAGCCATGCCTAGCCATTGGGCCAGTCCGGAACATGATCTATGGAAGTTAGTACACAAAAATCCTTCTATAAATAGACCTTGGACTCACAATTTCAAGGTATCCAAGTTTTGTAGAATTTTCTAGGCAGTAAAATCACTTATTTCAAAAGCATTTATTGCTCACATCGAATGATAAGTGCACATTAGGAAATTGTATCAGAATTCATCTGCTTGTACTTGGATCATTAATTACAATTAAAATCTCGACGTTATTTTATTTTCGAAGTTTTTCCATTCAAGTTCTTCCGCATTTATTTTCCCACACTGCTATTAGTTCCCATAGGAAAATTTACCTTATTTAATTTTATGCACCTATTTACTTTAAACCTTAATATTGTTGGTACTGTTTTGATTGTTTCTAGTTGTTATTGTTTATGTTTCTAAGCTTTACCTGTCATTTTCATAGACTAGTATATCTATGCAATTAGATTTTCCACGTACTGTTCTAGACAAATATATTGCACAACTAGTTTAGCATATTACCTGCATTCATTATCATTATCGTGTTTATGTTTACACTTTGCATAAATATTAATAATAATATGAGTTTCATGTCGATTATGTCCGACTAATTTTCTAGAGTCCGGTATGTGAGGACCGTCGTTCTGACGGGACTCAGTAATTAATTTGCGTAAAACTTTTCATAAATTATTTCTTTGGTTTTGGTTTTTAAGTTTGATTCTAAAAGGTTTTGCACGACAATGAAAAATAATAAAGGTTTGAGTCAATAGCACGACGTTGTGAGGCTTGTTTGGATAGTAAAAACCAGACATTAATCTTAAATACAACGAGAGCGCTTTAGGCATTAATTATGACTTATTTAGTTTTCAAAAAATATTTCTTGATTCAAATGGGCGAGTGATATCAAAATCTCATGGTCTAGAAGTATAACTTTAATCAATAGCGCGAGAGTGTGTGATAAAGATTTTTTAAACCGTTATTTTTCTACTGAAAGTAATTTAACATTAAACCAACACCAATGAATTACAAAGTCCCTGAGATACAATGAAATCCACTTTTCAGTCTCTTTTTTTGGATATATTTCATAAATTTTAATTTAATTTTAATTCTAGTTTTAGTTTCCCCAAATTCAGATTTCACTAGCTTTAGCTTTACGTAGCAGCAATATATAACGATAGGTTGACATTGGTCTCTATGGTTCGATAATATTTTATATTACTTTGATATTTCCGTGCACTTGCAGACGCATCAATACGAAATTGCATCTACATGATCAAGTTTGATAGCTGGATTGATTTCGGTTAGTGCTTCGTTAGCGCGATGTTACTGAGTAAGAATATAGATTTGTTGTTGGAAGAACTTTGACAGTATCATTACGGTTTGTAAAGAAGAGGAAGAAGGAAGAAAAAGAGGAAGAATGAAGAAGAAAAATAATAATAATAATAATAAGAAGAAAGAGAGAGTCAGAAGAAAATTGAGATTCCAAATTGAAATTTTGAATTGAAAGCAGCACTTCATTAAACGAGATGAAGTGTGATGAGAGAAATGCAATAACTTTGAAGTGATGATATGGTTGGAAAGAAATCCATTTGCCGCATTTGTTTGTGGGTTTGAATATAGCCAAAACCGGATTGGTTGCAAATGAATGAAGTTGATTTTATTATGCATATTACATGACTAATTTCCATTACGTGAAATTCAACGAATCAGACAAAAGAGATAGTATTATATTTTTCAGAACATAGTACTTATAAATTTTTCTCTCAACTATTGGCCAAATATTAAAAAAAAACTGTCTAATATCAAAATTCAAATGATTTTTTGTCATACAAAATAAAATAAAATTGAGACACCTAATACTATTCTCTAATGGAGCACATATTCTAACATCCCACGAGAAAATTCAAATTCAAATCCTAAAACCACCACTACTTTCCATATTATTTTTAGGCACAAATATAAATATTATTAAATATTTATTTATAGCGCGCACATAAATAAAGTTGAAAGACACCCTATTTCAAAAAAAATTCAAAATAGAACACGGAACACAAGAAAAAAGAAAATGAAAAAACTGCAGAAAATGAATCGCCATCATAATGTTAAGGTTAGTTTTGGCATAATAGACAAAAAAAAATCGTTTCAATATACAACAAACCCTTCTTTTCCTCTTCCACTTCTCTCTCTCTTCAATTTTTTCTGCCCTTTCTCTCTTCCACCAAATCCACCAAACCAAACCCTATCAATCAAAATCAAATCTTCCATTTCTCAATTCGTATCTTTTTACTATTTTCAAAAAAACCCTAATTATTTTTCATTATTTTTTTTGCGTTTAATTTGGGGTTTCTATTTTCGTATTTGATAAATACCAGTATATATCATTCCATGGCCAAAGGAACGGATTCGAACGAGTTTATGGTTCTTTCTAGGGTTCGAACAGGTCTCAAGAGAGAGTTTGCATTTGCAATGAAGGCTCAATCTGAGATCGATGGTTCATTAGGTCGAACCCGTGGTGGTAGTAAGAACCGGAATGAGCCTCCGGTTCAGGCGTCTCCGGTTGGGAAAAGGGCCAGAAAAACCGCTTTTGGTAAGAATGTTGATGATGTGGGTGGCGGTGTTTTGAGTGAGGAAGAGGCTAAGAGTGATGTTGTGGATCTTGGTAGCGATGATGAACCCAGGAATCTTGAATCGGTTTTTGAAACTGTTTTAGTTGAGCCGGTGAAGGAAGATAAAGATATGATGCATGGGATGGAAATAGAGTCTGTGAAACCTGATGTTTGTGAAACCCTTGAGGAATCCAAAGAGGAAACATGTACTCTTGATGTTAAGGGGGGTAATGTTAAGAAGAAGAAGGTGCCTTTAGAGAAACCAATGAGAAGGTTTACAAGATCAGCGTTGAAAGAGAAAGATGAAGAAATTAAGGTTTTGGATAATGTTGATGTTGGAATTGATGATGATGATGATGATGTTGAAAAGGAAAAAACTGAGGTTTTACCTGTTATGGTAAATGCAACTCCAAAGAAATTGTATAAATCTTCTATGAAGAGGTTTCCTATTAAGCTAAAAGATCTTTTGGCTACAGGGATTCTTGAGGGGTTGAAGGTGAAATATATCAAGGGACAGAAGGTATTGTTTGGTTTTTCTGTGTAACGTTTAGTTTTATTTGGTGAATTATGTAGCACCGACACCTATGAAAAATGGACACCTATCGAGTACGGGGTATCCGTGCTTCCGTGCTTCATAGTTGGTGAATGATATTTAGGAGTTTTTTTTTTCTTGTGATGCATGTGCATGAGTGTGATATGAGTTTATTGGTGAATAATGTGTAGGCGCGGAAACCTGGAGAAAAAGATTTTCGAGGAGTCGTTAAAGACGCAGGGATTTTGTGTTTTTGTGATAGTTGTAAGGGGATTCAGGTAAGTAAAAGGAAGATTGTTTTTTGTTTTTCTTTTTTTGGTATAGATTAGCATCTCGTAGGTTTGTAATGTGGTTTTGCTATTTGGGTTTTTGCTGAGAGTAGGTTGTCACGCCGACAGTTTTTGAGTTGCATGCTGGTAGTGCTAATAAACGTCCCCCAGAGTATACTTACCTTGAGAATGGAAAAAACCTTCGCGAAGTCATGAATGCCTGTTCAGGTGTTTCGTTGGACATGTTGGACGAAGCTGTACAAATGGTCCTTGGTGATTTCATTATTCAGAAATCTACTATCTGTTTCAACTGCAAAGGTTTTAAATGCATATATGCGTATGTTTGCTATTTACCTTTCATACTGTGTAATTTGCAATCCAGTTGATTATAAATTTAATTTCATGTTTGTAGGTTTAATTTCTGAATCTAGTAATGGTGTGTCAAAACTAGTATGCAATCCATGCATGGAGTTGAAAGAGACTCAATCTAACCTTCAAGCAGCAACAACACGCAGTAAAAATATTTCCTCAGTAGTTCAACCCAGGTATTTTTTATTTTTATTTTTTTTATTAGGTAAATTCCAAGAGTTTAAGAGAAGCACATGCTACATGAAGTTATTTGAAATCGTTGTAATGGCATAGTTTGTTCCGCATTTTAGGTCCTCTCTGTGTTTACCTTCTAAAATCAGAAGGTTCATTATATTATGTTGCTTTATTTAATGTCACTTTCAAATGTGTATACTCAGGCACAAGCTCACGTGTACCATTTTATAAGCTAGCACATTACTGGGCCTGTATTTAAATACATATAATAGTAGTATCCGCTGTTCGATATATTAAAGTTCACTGGAACCATAGCATAAATGATGAGTGAACCTACTATTTCAGATCACCAGAAACAGTAGCAGTTTCAGAGTCATTAAAAACTGAGAAGGCTGTTCCAAAGTTGCTAAACACCGAGATGGTGGTTCCAAAGTCGCTAAACACCGAGATGGTGGCTCCAAAGTCGCTAATCACGGAGATGGTGGTTCCAAAGTCGCTAAACACGGAGATGGTGGTTCCAAAGTCGCTAAACACGGAGATGGTGGTTCCAAAGTCGCTAAACACGGAGATGGTGGTTCCAAAGTCACTAAACACCGAGTTGGTGGTTCCAAACTCATCAAACACCGAGACGGTGGTTCCCAACTCAGTAGACACCGAGATGGTAGTTTCGGAGTCATCAAACACACAGATTATTCCAAAGGCATCGAACACTGGCATGAAGCAGGGTGCATCTCGTGGCAAGAGTCGGGGAAAAATAACTAGAAAGTAAGTGTGTTTAAAAGATTTGCCAAAGTTGGAATTTTCTGATTTTGGTGTAGATTATATATTATGTAGATGTTGATGTAGAATATGGAATAATATCAGGAATTTAAAGTTTGCTTTTTCTTGAACATATTTTGATAGGGATCTACGGTTGCATAAGTTGGTATTTGAAAATGACGTGTTACCGGATGGAACTGAAGTAGCTTACTATTCTCATGGAAAGGTTGCTTTGTTTGAAATTGGTTCTGCTTTACTTTGTTTTATGACTTTTATCTTTTTCTGATTGTGCATTTTTGGGTGCTGTCAGAAACTATTGGTCGGTTACAAAAAGGGATATGGAATTTTTTGTACCTGTTGCAATGCGGAAGTTAGTGCATCTCAGTTTGAAGCACATGCTGGATGGGCATCTCGGCGCAAGCCGTGAGTTCTTGTTTAAATTCTGTTGTTGGATCCATAGGGTGTATATAACATATTTAACTAGCTTGGTAATGTACTCTGCTTTTCATATGCTTAGTTTTGTCCTTTTAAACTCAGGTAAAACTTAAGACCCACATATATATTAAAATCAGGTAAAAGTCAAACTTCAAATATTTAGTTGTGATAGAGAAAATCTATTCTACATTGTTAAGGAAACATGCAAATTTGCATCATAAATTCATATAGAATAGAATATAAAAGGTATGGGTAAAATGGAAAGCATTTTAAATTAACATTCATGGTTTTACAATTTGAGAATGATACGTGTCATCACTGTGAAAAATGATGTTTTATTAAGAATTGGGAAAGAGGAATACAACCTCAAATTGTGGAATGGAAAGATTATACAAAAAATGATTTATGTAATCCCGTAAGAAATATAAATTACAGAACAAAAAAACCTTTATATCACATTTCAAGTACTTAATTAAACTTAAATTCCTAAACATACAAATCTGATGATGCATAGAGTTATGCTCAACTCAAGTTGCAAATGTTAGCATTTGAGATGACAAATAAAAACAGCAAAAGATAGAAGAACCTGGGCCAAATACCCTCAATATATTATTTTAAAAATGCCTATTTTACGATTTAAATCTCTCAATTTTGACTACCTTGCATGTCATTCTGTAAGGAAGATGAGATAAGAAATTGCTCTCATTTCAAGAAATTGGTTTATAACCGAATTTTAGGGGATTGGTTATTTTGTTTTATTACTCTTCTATTTCCCATTTTCCAGGTCTCACTGATTTTCTCATTCATTAATTGAAATGCTGTGCTTTGTCAAATTCACCTTCATTTCCTTGTTAAACATTGAGTTATTGTATTATTGTATTTCAGTTACCTGCACATATATACCTCTAATGGAGTCTCACTACATGAGTTGTCCCTCTCTCTATCAAAAGATCGGAGATTTTCTGCCAGTGATAATGATGATCTTTGCAGCATATGTCAAGATGGAGGGGATCTTTTGTGTTGTGATGGATGCCCAAGGGCTTTTCACATAGGTGAACACCATTTGCTTCTATTCTAAATTAAACGGTAGTTGATGTGTTTAATATCAAATAGAAAGTTGTTGATTGGGTTTAGTTTCTTGCATGGTTGTTTAGTATGCAATTATAATACTCAATTATAAGCAAAAGAAAAAAAAGCCTAAATTTAAATATAAGCAAATGTCAAATATTTATCCACATTTAATGTTTGTATTCCAAAAATGCCCTTAAATTAATTCATTAATGCTGCAAGTAGATCACTGTTATAATTAGGGGTAGGTTAGTAGATGTATTCCCTTTTTACTTCAAACCAATAAAGTTAAATGCATTTAACTCATCTTGAATAATAATTATGGAAGTAGATTTTTCTACTTGTAATTTTTTATTGGATGGAGTACCTCTGAATTTCAATTGTAGTGTATGGAATCTAATCAATAAATAATTTATAATTGAAGAAGAAATATGACTGGTTCAGTTTTTGAATTTTCTCATTTTTTATTAAATCTCCACTCTTGATACTAAAGCTTTAAGTTGGATGAACGGTAATATAGAAATATAACTGAAATAAAAAAGTGAACAGCTTTTTAATCCCTCGAGATGCAAGAAGTCAAGTAAACCAACACTGGTCCACTGCCCATTTGTTTATTTCTCTGCAACATCAACTTAAAGCCAACGTTCTGTTTTGTTGATCCCAATGATATGTATGTCATTTTCAGATTGCGTGCCTCTGCCATGTATTCCCAGTGGTACTTGGTATTGTAAATACTGCCAGAATAATTTCCTGAAGGAGAGTAATGTGGAACGCAATGTGAATGCTCTAGCAGCTGGAAGGATTGCAGGCATCGATCCTTTAGAACAGATTAACCGTAGATGCATACGCATTGTCAAAAGTGTAGCTGTTGACCACGGGGGATGTGCCCTGTGTGGGTAATACTTTATTATATTATTCAGCTAGTTTCATGTTGAATTTAGATACATAATTTGAAATCTTAATTTCCTATCTCTTTTACACCATGATATAACTTGATGACATATTTTTTATGCCATGCTTTGTGACATTTCTGGGCTTGATTCTTGTATTGCTTGTTTTCCTTCCTTTTTGGCTAAGACACTCATCTTCCTAATGTTTTTGTTGTAATGTACAGATGTCATGATTTTGTTAAATTATTTGGTCCTCGTACAGTGATTATTTGTGATCAGGTATTGCTTTATGTGAATTATAGACCACCAAGCCTTAATTTTCAATTGCTGTTTTTTTTTTGATAATGCACTAGATTATTTGATGCACTGGTTAATGTGTTCTTGCAGTGTGAAAAGGAATATCATGTTGGGTGTTTGAAGGAACATAACATGCAGAACCTAGAGGTAACAACTAACTTTGATTAAAATTTGCTTGCTTTTTGTAATACATGCAAGTGTTGACCGGAGGATATTTATCAGGAATTGCCTGAAGGGAATTGGTTCTGTTGCACAAGTTGCAGTCAAATTCATTCTTCTCTAGTGAATTTGGTTGCTTCTGGGGAGAATTATCTCCCTGATTCTAGTCTAAGTTTGATCAAAAGGAAGTGTAAAGAGAAAGGTGTAGACACTGACGTCGAAGAGAAAGATGCAGACACTAGCGTTGTAGATAACGGTGCAGACTCTGGCATCGTAGATGGTGCAGATGCTGGCCTTGTAGATAAAGGTGCAGACGCTGACGTTGTAGATGAAGGTGCCGACGCTGTTGTTGAAGAGAAAGGTGCCGGCGCTGTTGTTGAAGAGAAAGGCGTAGACACTGACGTCGAAGAGAAATGTTTAGACACTGATGTTGGTCCTGAAATTAAATGGAGGGTTCTGAATTGGAAGTTAGTTGTATCTGATGAAAATAAGCAATTGTCTGACGAATATAGGCAAGTGCTTTCGAAGGCTGTTTCCATCTTCCATGTGAGTATATTTGTGTTTCTGCCCCATATAATTTTTTTGGTCATTTGGATTTTGGATTATGGATTTCTTTCATCAAACTTATTACATGTTTTACTTGATAGCCTTTTTTAATTAGTTGGAATGTTTTGTCTACAGGAGAGGTTTGATCCTATAGTCGATTCTTCTTCTGGCCGGGATTTCATTCCGACAATGCTGTTTGGGTAAGCATCAGTTGTATTTTTCTTTTCAGTTGATCTTTTGTTGTCACATTTATGAATGATAATGAATTTGTTTTCTCATAATGGTTTGACTTCCACAGTAAGAATATTCGCGGACAAGATTTTGGCGGAATGTACTGTGCAGTGCTCACTGTCAAGTAAGGGATAACAAGGGAATGCCTTTCTATTGTTTCGTCCACTTGTTTGTTTGTCTGATTCCAGTTTCCTGTTTTCATTTTTTGTTTTTCAGTCGGGTTGTTGTTTCTGCTGGAGTATTTCGTGTTTTTGGGCCAGAAGTAGCTGAACTTCCCTTGGTGGCGACAGTTGCAGAGTACCAGGGACAGGTTATTTGATTTACATGTGTTAAACATGCGAGCTTTTTAAATTTGTGTCATCAAGTATTCTTAACTGAAAATCATACTGGTCTGTTTAGGGGTACTTTCAATGCCTATTCTCTTGCATTGAGAGACTACTTGGATCACTTGGCGTGAAAAACCTTGTCCTACCGGCTGCTGATGAAGCTAAATCAATATGGACCAACAAATTTGGGTTTAAAAAGCTCGAGCACGACGAGGTGTGCAATTTTTTATTTGTTTCTCGTAAAGTTAAGTTGTTTGCTAATCGATATGCTAACCGACGCTGTCGATCCTACAGATTAACAATTATAAGAGATTTTATCATATGATGATCTTTCAAGGGACCTCCGTACTACAAAAGCCTGTTCCTGCACTACCAAGTGTTTCTCAGGAGATTGTGTAAAGTTTATTTGCAGTGGCGTTAGTTTTTGGTTTTGTTTTGGTGGAGTGCAGAGCACACTTATTCAGTATGTACAGAGTGATCTGCCATTTTGGTGTACAGAAAAGAAAAACAAAACTACTTGATGCAAATTTTTGTAGCAAAGAAATGAAATGAGAATTAGAATTGAAAATTAAGGAAAACTAGGATTGGGGTTAGAGATGTTGAAAAGCTAGCCAAATTTTTTGTAGCTACCAACCGGTGGTTTTAACGTGATTCTGATATGAATATAAAGATCCGGCTTCTGTTCTTACTAGCATTATTTTTTGTAACCATTGGTACTGTTGCTGTAAATTCGTAACATGGTTTCATCATGTATTGAGCTGCAATTCCTAAATAATGTAAACTTTAGTAATTATTTTTATAGGTCTGTTTGGTTGGGGGGAAATTTTGGAGGGGAGTCAAGAGAAGAGAAAATTCTAAATGAAGAGAATGATTCAATTTTTTAGATGAAAGAGGGAAGGGTAGGGAGGGAGGGGAATAGAGTGGTGGTTTAATAAAACAACCATTTAAAAAATAGCTTTGTAATAAGACAACAACATAGAAGAATATAAAAAATGGGAAATATAATAATTTTATTATCCAATTTGATCAAATGATCAATTTTGGTGGAGAGAACATTTTCAATTCATTATATTTTTAAAAATTGTTACAAAGCATTACAAATAAGTTATAAGAAAATGCTCACAGTTTTTTAAAAATAAAATAAATCATATTTAGTGTTCAAATGCTTGTCAATTTCTCAAACTCTATGTTTCACACTAGAAGTGTTTTCTAATTCTCTGTAGACATCTCTAAGGATTTTTCATGTTCTAAGAGCACACTTAAAAATTTATCCTTGCCTATATAAGTTTATCATTAGGATTCCCAAACCTTGCTCTTTGTTTTTAACTTTAAATTTATGTCTTTAGCTCTAAATTTGTGAAGGTTAAAAAGACAAGGAAGATAAACATACATATTTATAATTGTTGAAGCCATTATACCCATTATCGCACAATCACCATGGACTTTGTCTTCAAGTTAATTTATGATTTCTGCAATCAAATTATATTTCTTTTCTCTTTATCACTTAAGGTATTAAGACATACTTCAACAATTTCCACATCGACTTAAAACCGAGGTGAAGCCATTCTATCCATCAACCACCTGGTTGTTATATGCCAATTCAACATCTATTGAACATTTTTCATCAAGTTTAAGTCTGGCTTGAACCTTGATCTTGCCACTTGCATTATGCTTGCTTTCAACCATCTTTTTATGCTTTAATATTCTAACAAGTCCACAAATATGGTTCTTCAACCATCATTGACCCATCTGCTTTCAAATGCCTTCATAAAGGTCCATATTTTTGAGTTTTGCAACCATTCAACCGCATTCAAAGTAAAAAATTCAAAGCTAGTATAAACGTCCTTTTGAGATGATACAATCTCCCTCATTATCATATCCCAGATCAATCAATAATCAGAGGCCTTTGTAAATGTTATATCACTACTACTAATATAATAAAAGTCTCCACCTAAAACCGAGTCTTATCCACCATAATTTCTAAAAGTTCCATTCCTACATCTTTACTCTTATTTTCTTGACGAGACTCGGTGAAAGTAATACATATGTGATTGATGAACTTCAATGATCCTCCAAATTCCACTCCCAACAACTCATAATCATTTCTACCTTTTGGATATCCATTGAATACACAATCAACAACTTTACCATCAAACATAACAAACTTGATTTGATCAATAAACAAAATTTTAACGAACTTCAACACATAGTAGGTTACAGTTTTTCTAATTCAAACCTCCATAAGTGTTTTGAAGTCCATACTTGTTAATTGATACTTACTGATCAAGTAAGCTACTTTGACATCATCATTACCCTAAAAAAATTCATGACAACTCAGTGGTCAAATGCATTTTTATCCGCTGTCTTCTGCAAAATTCGTTAAAGTAATCTGAAACAACCTCCAGGCATCAACCATGCCTTGACCTCAATCCCATAGTTTGTTGTTTTTTTGCAAGTCTTCACTAGCTGGTGATGAATGAACAACCACATTAGAAGCCTCTAAAATATATAAGTCACATATTTTAGACTCTTTAGTTATTATCACTTCACCATGTGAAATCTTTAATACCCAATGTTCAACTCTAGTGCAATAGCATAGATAATCAAACATGCTTATTGATAACAAAATTTTCCCGAGATCTGGAACATCCCTTACATTGTGAATAAGAAATTCACGATCATCAAACATTTTAAGTCTGACATTATATATATTATGAACTTTGCAAGCCTTATTGCCATTAAGATGAACTACTCCACCTTCCTCCAACTTCAAAATCTCAAAGTATTATTTTCTTGAACACATGTGATAAGAGCAACCTAAGTTCATGACCCAACCATATTCAGTCTCCAAACTTAACACCACTAATGCACATGCACTCTTATAACTTTTATCACCGAAGGAAGCAACAATATGAATATTATCTTAATTGTCACCTCTCTTAGGACAATTCCTCTTGAAGTGACCAAGTTTTTGATAAGTAAAGCCTTTTATCCTTGACTTGTCAAACCTCTTTGATTTAGAAATTCCTCTACACTCACTTCCTACTATTGAGACACTCAAGCACTAACCACTGTCTTCAATCTTCAAATCTTTCACATTTAGAAATTCTTTGAATCTCATAGTTGTATGTACTTCATCCAACGTAATAATACATTCCTTACCATAAAGAAAGGAATCCTTGAAGTACTTGAAGGATCTAGATAATGAGATTAACAGGTACAACCTTATCAACATCTTCAATATTCATCTAAATATTCTTCATATCATCAATGATCTTGAGAAATTCTGTCAACTGTTTTACTTTGGATATGTTCGTTGCCATTAGTAACGAGTAGAGTAATTCTTTCAGAAGCAACCTGTGAGTCAAATACTTGGTTGTATACAATGATTCAAGTTTTACCCACATCAAAGTAAAATTATTCTCCCTAGTGACTTCCCTTATAAATTTCCCCCCAAGCATAAGATAATGACACTTCTAGCCTTATCTACCATCTCGCTCTTCTTTACTTGTGTTAGGTGTGCAGGAATTGACGCCTTACTAATGCTTCAATACACTTCACTTGAGTTAAGATTGCTTGCATATTCACTTTTCACCAAAATGGTGTCTCTAAAAAAATTCTCAATTTGCTATTTGGAACCGATGGTACTCACTTTTAAACATTACAGAATTGTGACAGGTGTCAAGTTTAGAATGACTTTCGTATCAATTTATGACATTTTTAAAGCTCTTTTCCATACTTCTGATATTGAAACAACTTATTTTTTAAGTGATTCTTGCATCAATGTATATATTTGGTATATTTAATATATTTGTTAGTTTTGCGGTAAATTTTGAAAAAAGGGCGCGATAAAAATCAGAAGAAAAAGCAAAGAAAAGAAGAAAGTCGCGTGTCGAAGACTTCATAACCTTCACCTGGTGAAGGAGAAGCAAAAATGACGTTTCGCCCGACAAAGGCCTAGCAAATCAAGATTGAAATTCCAGTAGCTACTGGTGTAACACCCTTTTTCTACCCCACAATTTAAAAGGCAAAATATTCACATTTATCAGAGTAAAATGTTAAACACCATAAATATCACCTCAAAGGGCGTACATTACTCAATAAATTCAAAAATAGGTCAATGCTCCGTAAACAACAGGTTTTTTCCAAAAGATATCAAAAATTGCAGCGGAACTAAAAAAGGCATAATCCAAAGTTTTCCTTATACAGGAACATAATCAAAGTAACCAAATCAAATAAATCATGGTTTGACTCAAAGACCCCAACCCGATGTTACACTATCAGAGCAAGACCCTCTAAGTTAACTAAAAGGCCAACAACTCAAAACTCTGAAAATATCCTCGACGGCATCCACGATTAAACCTGGTCATCTGCACGTTACCCACGTGGAGACAACATTCAAACATGCAGGGTGAGTAAAATGATTCATAATAATCAATGTAGGAAATCAATTAATAAAATGACGTCATTTTCATATTCAACATCATCATATTCATCAATGGATATCAAAGGCCACAACATCATAAATTACTCAAGATCATCTCATAAATGCAAATGCAACAATACTCAATGCATGTGGTACCAATCATCACAACTCGATGGACACTGGGCCATCAACCTTCCGTAGATCCCCATCAATAGGATCGATTCTACTCGAGAACCGGAGCACATCAAAATACCTCACATCCGCACAATGGGATTGAAGCCAAAGAAATCAAGGTCCTGAACCGAAGTCCGGATGCACATGAATGCATGGTGCACACGTCAATAATCATCCTCATAATAACATTATAGGTGCATCATCATCAAAAATCATATCATTATATAGTCATCAAAACTCATGGAATTATCATCATAGCTCATCATCATTACATCATCATCATACATCATGTCATCATAGAATCATCAAAAACTCATGGAAATATCATCATAGCTCATCATCATTACATCATAGAAATCATCATAAAATCATGTACAAATCACATAGAATCACAATCATACTCACGGTAATTCATCATACCATCACATATTAATCACATAGAAGTTACAACTATACTCATGGTAATCATTATACTATCACATATTAATCACATAAAATTCATAATTATACTCATGGTAATCATCATACTATCATGTATTAATCATGTAGAAATCATAGTCATACTCATGGTAATTCATCATACAATCATTTATTTAATCTCATAAAAATATTATAAAATCAATTATCTTATTTATAATATGTTATAGCCTTATTCATTAGATTTCCAACGCTTTGAATTGGGGGCAAAACGGACTTACGGATTAAAAGTTACGTCCAAAACGATTTCGACCGAAAACATGATAAGTCGTGACGTACAACATGCAATTTTCCGCGTTATTCACTGTTGGAGGCCTTCCGT